GAAACTTGCAGCAGTCACTTGACTGTATAGACTTCTATTTACTTTCATTAAAATGGGAATAACAATACTGCCAGCCTGTCTCAGCAGCTACTTTAGGATCAAATGGTTAATATATGGGAAAGTACTGTACAAATGTAGATAATTAATTACTATTGAACTAAGTAGAAATTACTTTTTCTATCTCCCTAAAACCTAAACATTGCAAATTTAGAGAGTGATGCTGGCTTCATTTTCTATGGTTTGGATTTCTTTGCATTTGTGGATTATACTTCTTTGAATCACAGAAATAACTACTTCTAGGAGCCATTGTTAGGTGGTAATGCTGAGGACAAAGTTACTAAAGGCCTCTTATAGTCATTAGCAGGGACAACAATAAGAACTTTCCATATACCTGGAAGACAGAAGACGATAATACCAGAACATTCTGCACACATGATATCATGTTTTCTGCTAAGTCATTTCTAAACATTTTACATCAGTTTTAGCATTTTAAAAATACTGTATCCACAGACAGATGGCAGGTATATATGACAGGGCTAAAGAAACATTTCTGAAAAAATTACACTAGTAGAAATATAAAAGCAATTTAAATGTATCATTAAAAGAACACACTTGGTTATCTCTGGAAAAAAGCATAAATTCCAAGGATTGTTAGGCTAAGAACATAACTGAATTGTTTGAGGGAATCATAAGAGTCACTAAATTATGTTGAGGTTAATAATGAGTATATTGATGCTGCCACCTTGAGACAAGGGAAGCAGGAGAAATGAGTGTGGTACAAATGTAGGCGTCACCTTCCATATCCACTTCTCTACTTTAAAATACCATCCTGCTTCTGTGGATGATCTTTGCAAAGAATCATTTCAAGCTCAAGCTGTCTCTCCTCTCCTACTTTGCTGCTTCTTACTTCTGGCTCTCTCCTTTCACGATTTCTTTTTCCTAAGAGATTGGGGAAAGGAGAGGGAATGACCATATAAAACCTCTGGGACTTGCATTCTGCTTACTTGGTTGTGAGCTCATTGAACATTAATTTCTTTGACTTAAAAGATGAATTTATTTCTTTGGACTTTGGGAAACATGAGAGCTTGTGTATTGAGGACTTCAAAACGTAGCATAGTACCTTCTCTTTGCTGTTAAATGAGTTATTGTATCCTGGATAATATGCCATCTTAGTCTCTAAAGGAGGAATAAAAAGGATGGGGAAGAAAGTCAGAGGGGTCTAAGGGAATATAAAGAGGCAAAAATAGTGCCCACATCCATGGAATTTTAGTTTCGTGTTACTTTCCCAGCAGAGCCTTGCTCCGTGCTGCTTCCTTCTCTCCATCTCACTGTTTGTAAGAGAGGATTAGCAAAGCAAGCCACTTTGTACTGCTTCTCTCATGTACTCTAATAATACGACAGCTGTAATTTATCGAATAAGTTCTAATATGCCAGATTTTTGCCTTGGAGATAGATATCATTGTGAGTTATAGAAACTGCACAAGTTGTTACTATCACATTGTATACATGTGGAAACTGAGGCTCAGAGAAGTGAGTAATTTGTGATTTAGCCATTCAGTGACACGGCTCCGATTTGAACAGACTGAGCAGACTCCAAAACCAATTGTACATAATATTCAGCCTCGGCTGTCCCACCCAGAGAAGTGTCCACATTGATGGGAATGTGTGACCAAGTAGGAGGAGATGAAGCCACTGTGCCAAGTGTTTGAGGGAGGGATGTTCAGGGCTTTGCCATATCACAGCATTGAAATTATGCCACTTAGGTGCTTGTCTCCTCGGCCTACAACTAGAGCCTGCACAAAAGCTCAGATTTTTCTAAATCTGAAGTTTCTTTTTTGGAGTATGTATAAATTTGGTCAAAGAAAAGGATCATAATGGTGAACTGAAACTAACAGATATAATATCACAGAGATGATTATGTTTGAGATTTACTAAACTTATATTAAGCTGCCATTTGAAAAAGATGGCAAGTCAAATGGATTGAAGCATACATACACAAAAATGAATCTCCTAAACACTGAAGAGGAAGGCACAATAAAATAGGCAAGTAAAAAAAACCCCAATATCCTCCCTCCCCCAGAAAAATTAGATAGTAAAATAAAATCACTTGAATACAGCTTTTGAATAGTGACTTTTTATTGGCATTTCCTTAGAGACTAATTCAATAGTTTCAAATAGTGTTTGAAAGTTCTCTATATATACTGTACTACTGATTTTTAATAATGTACCATGCATGACGTTTATCATTACCACAAAACATTGTGTTTTAAAAAAGGTCTTTCATCATTGCATTCACCCTCTTACTGAATTAAGCAATATTAATGACTAATAGGAAACCTTCCTATTTGGAGAATACATGTTGACCTGGAATGAATGCATTCCAAAATTTTCCTTTTCATCACCACATGTGTGTCTGTTTATGTGTTGTGCCTCCCAAATAACTACAAGGTTATTTTGTCCTGTCTAGAGGAGGGGGAGGAATGTTCCTATTCAAGACTGCCTTGTGTGGGAAGAGAAAAAGGCTAACACTTAAACGTCCTTTAAAGGAATCTATTGAAGCCTCATACCAGATTTGGGAGGACTGGTTGTACCTGCCTAAACCTGGCACAGGTAAGACACCATCCAAGCAATCCCTAGCTTGGGGGTACTGGGGATACAAGTTCCACCTTGTGACTCCAGTGTCACTTTAATCTATTCTTCTATTCTTAGTAACAGCTCAGCTTGCAGTCTAGAGCATTGATACACACATTGGTTACATAAATGAAGACCAAGGAAGATCAATTCTTACCTTTCTACCCTTTCAGACTTAATGGTTAGATTCCAGATTTACCTTCCCCCGTAAGAGAGAGAGAGAGGAAGCAGGAGGAGGAGTAGGTGGTAGAGGAAGAGGAGGAGGAGGGGGATGAGGGGGATGAGGGGGATAAGGGGGAGGGGAAGGAAGGAAGGAAGGAAGGAAGGAAGGAAGGAGAGGGAGAGAAAGAAAGGAAGAAAGGAAAAGGGAAAGTCTCTTGACCTTGAAGCTGCTGGATCTCTGGTGCCAGGAAATTTGGAAGGCATATTCTCAGGGGTACTTATTTCTGGCAGTAAATAAGGCCCTCAGGAAAGATTATTAATTTACATGGTCTCTTTAGTATATTAAATTACACTCTTTCATACTCTAGTGGCCTGAAAAAGTTAACTTACCATTTGAACAGCATGAATGATGAACATACCAAGCCCTGGCCCTTTACAATACTTAAACATTTAGTCCTTTTTGCTTAGGTGTGCTTTATTTTGCATTAGTTTCCATGGAAAAGGAAAACAAATTTGTAATATTCTGTTGGAGACAGCAGGACAGCTGTTGCCTAGGGTGCCACCTCAGAGTGAGAGGTGCCTTATGCCTTAACACAGGACCCTGATTCTGAGGGAAAGGGAGAAATATCAGAAAGGAAAAAGAAAGGGTGGGAGTGCTGGACGGGAAGAAGACAAGGCCTTGGCTTCGTGCGCTTCTGCGCTCTTTACCTGGGGTGTGGTAACCTATCCCATACCTTGGGTTTCTCTAAACCCTATGCCTGCCTTCTCTACCAATGCTTTATGAGCTGTCAAGTGGGGATAGAATGGGATTCTGATTATTAAGAGTTGATATTTATTCTTTTGGATATTGGTTACCTGGGGCACTAAAATAATTTGAATTGCTTTTGAAATGAAGTGTCACTTGTGGAAGAAAAGTGCATAACAACTTTTTAAATTTAAACAATGGGATGCACAGAAAGGGACAAAGACCTGAACTTCATTTTTTATGTGAAGTAATGTTTATTGAACTTTTGGACGCTATAGAAATACAACTTCTATATGGAGGGGGCATAATCACACACACTGATCTTACAAGAGAATCATGGATTAGCACAGAAGCAGCTGTACACTTTAGTTGCCTTGGAGGCAACTATATTAATGACTTAAGGTAAAATTGGATGCCGCTTCTGTCTTTGCAAGCTGTGAGGATGTCTTTGTGTTCCAGAAATTGCTTGGTGTAAAACTACCAGATTTCACTTTTCTGTAAAGAGGTGGTGCAATGAAGTAGAGATAGGGGTTGGCGAGCCACACACAAAAAAGTCTGTTTTTATAGATACAATTAAAATGAAGAGAATAGATTAAATGAATTAAATAAATAAATGAAAATATTATGAATACGTAAGTAAATGGATGAATAAAAATATAAATGAAAATTTTAAAGTAGATCTTGATGAGCCCAAGTCTTCAGATAATCAGCAAGATATTAGAACACGATGCACAGTGAAAACTAAGACTAAGATTTTTGAAGACAACAATGACTCCTTTGAAATCGTCTGTACGTGTAAGAGAAGGCTTGTAAATTGTCAAATGCCTGAGGTTAAGCTCAGTGCATGGTGGCTCTGGTCTTTTCATGACAACAGCCATTGGCTGAAATAAGAGAAGTCAGAATTCCAGAGCATTTCAGGTCTCTGATTCTCCCTCAGTGGGTTCCAAGAGGCCAGCGAGCCCTGCGTGCAGGCCCGCCAGGCACGCACCTGCCACCCCCTCCGGGTGGATTGTCCCACAGCTCCCTCCCTACCTGTTTCCTCCCCCGGGGGCAGGAAAATGAACAGTCAGGTGCGACCCAGCAGGGGGAGTGGGTGAGCTGGCCCGAGGGCAGCCCGAATATGTCCTTGGGTGGGGGTATGGGTGTGGGGCAATTTGGGTGGCAGCCGCGTGGAGGCTACCCCGACCAAGTCCTGCGCCTCTTTAGTGGGGTGTGTGCAGAAGGAGCCGGGATAAATAGGAGGCTCCCTTCTCCCCGCGACACTCACGGAGCCGGCCGGCCGTCCGCCCTGGGTGTTTCCCTGCCCTGCAGCCAGGGTGCCAGCCTGCGGAGTAGTTTCGTTTCCTCCTGGCTCCGGGATTAGTTTCCAGGCACCCTCTCGGGCGCCCGGGGCCCGGGAAGGGGGCGAAGAAGGAGGAGGGAGACTCATCTAGGGGCTGCCCGGCCCCGCAGAGCGGGGTTGATGGACCGGGTCGCCCCGGGCAGCGGCGCCAGCTCCCTGCCACTGCTCCTGGCCCTTGCCCTGGGTAAGTGGCCGTGCTGGGCACTGGAGACCAGGAGGAAAGTCTGGGGCTGGAGTTGCAGGGAGGGCGAACCCTGAACTGCGCTGGCATCTGGACACGAGGGCGCTCTCGGGCTGGCAGGCGCGGGTCGGAGAACTTGGACGACCGGGAGAGCGCAGGGTCAAGGATCTGGCGATCGATCGGGCACCTGGGGCTGCACCTGTTGGCGACCGTCCCTGGGCGCGTGGGAAGGCCCGAGGGCGGAAGGGAACCCGCGGCCCCGCCGCTGGCGCTGCGCAGAGCCGAGTGCCGCGCGCCGGCCGGACGGACGGACGGGGGTGTCCTCGGGGCCCTGCGCCGCGTCCCCGCCAGTGAGGAGAGGGGGGAGGGGAAGTCATCAAAGGAGCGAGCGTGGGAGCCTGGACCCAGGATACGCTGAGGGAGACAGGCAGAAAGAAGGGAGCCCCTTGACCTAAGATGCTGGCCGGGAGCAAGGTGGGGAGCAGTTTGCCTGGAGTGTGTGCGGCAGACAGAGCGGGCATGACCTCTGGGGAGACCTCTGGCCATGGCCAGGAGATGGATTGTTCTTCCTAGTGTGTGCTGGGGCAGTTGGGAGGAGCTGGGGAAGAAAAGAAGTCAACTTCTGAGACTTGAATCTCCTCTTTGTGACTGAGAAGCAAAGGAATGAGAAAAGACATTTTATTGAGGGCATGTTCGATGAAATACATAAATGCTTTACTTGGGATTGATTATTTCCCATTTTAAGGAGAATTGCGGGAAGGAAACTTTTTTTCACTTGGAAGGTTAAACCTGGGTTGTTCTTTTAAGGACCACCTGACATGAGGGATGAGTGGCCAGTGGGAGGACAGCAGGATGGCTGGAACCTTCTAGAGGCTCTCCTGGCCTCCTTGGGAGTCGCCCCCACAGAGGGACAGCTGTAACTTCAGATGCACCCTCCAGAGTGGGGAGGTGGCAAGTAGGCATTTAGGTGGGAAAATCCCACTACCTCAAGGACAGCCTCTGCATCAGGGTCACTTGGGAAGGGGGAGGGAAAACTGAGTGATGGGATTGGAAAAACAAGACCGAGTGAAAGTGGGAAAAACACACACTGTCCTCTGCTCTCACTTGGCACAATTGTCAACCCAGAAGACCAACTTCTGTGACCCAATGTGTGGGGATTTTTCCCACTGGCAAGCAAACCAGCAGTTCTTCAGCAGACACCAGTGGGGTGTCCTCCAACTCAATTCCAACACTATCTACCTGGAGATGGCATCAGATTGCACAGGGTGAGGGCTCAGGCCCCAAGACTGTCCCCCACTTCGGATGCCATTTGCAAGTCCAGGCCTCTGGAACTTCTGACCAACCAGCTATAAATCAGGGTTCCCACAATGCCTTCCTTGCGTTTGGTTAGTTTGCTTGAGTGGTTCACAGAACTTGGGGAAACATGTATTTACGTTTACTGGCTTATTATGAAGGATATTACAAAGGCTACAGATGAAGAGATGTATAGGGTGAGGTATGGGAGGAGGGGCGTGGAGTTTCCGTGCCCTCCCCCCATGGACCACCCTCCAGGAACCTCCGTGTGTTTGGCTATCTGGAAGCTCCCCAATCCTTGAGCTCTTGGGTTTTTGTGGAAGCTTCATTATGTAGGCGTGACCTAAGCATGGACAACCGTGTAGAAATGTGACTGGACAAAAAGGGTATGATCTAACACTCACAAGACTGGGTGGAGAAACCCAGCAAGGCCTGTTTGTTCAGGTTCTTCTTGGCCTCTCTGTGCAGCATTTCTTCCTCCCAGGCATAGGGCAGGGCCCCTCCTGCAATAGGGGTCTATGACCTACAGTCAGCTAGGTTAGGTCAGAGAATTTCCTGCCCCAGGGAGAAAAAGGAGCAGGTGAAAGAAGGGCAGGAGAAGGCCAGAGAGTAGCATGAGCCAGGAACTGTGGACAAAAACTAATAAGCATCATAATGTCACAAAACCAGTGATACTTTCTAGTCTTAGTTGGATGTAAAGACATCTGGACATGGGACTTTAAAGTGGGAGGAGGACAGTCTCCACAGCTGAAGTGTCACTATGATGTCACTCTTATTTTTAAGCCTAAGAAGGAAGCACCACAAATGAAAAAGGATGGGGGTTTCTCTTATGGAAGAAAAAGAGGTGGAATCTAAATGAAAACTTTTATTTGGCTGTGTTTGTGCAGTAACAGAGGTGGCTAAAAATGTATTGTTTAGTTCAGTGGAGGTGGATCAGACTTAGGACCATGGTTAGAGAGAAGGGATTGATGTAACAAATGCTGCAGAGGAAGAAGTCAGTAACAAGTTAGAGGTAGAGTGATGTGGAGTGTGAAAAAGAGCAACAGTCTGAGATTCAGGCCTCGAAACTGCTAATCGCTTGCTTGGATGTAGCTGGTGTTCAATTCCTCCACCTTGTCCAGACTGTTTGACAGTCAAAGTATTCACGGAGGATCTGCCATAGTCAGCAAGATGTTAGAGTATGTAGGGACGGGGGTGGGAGGAGGGCTCAAGAGATTCCTAAAAGAACTTAAGTTAAATTTAGGAATGCAAGACTAACAATATGAAACAATTAGGGAAAAAGTCATGAAACCAGAGAAGGGAGAGCTCAACAGCAAAGGGTGGGGTAGAGGGGAAAGTCTGCACAGACGGCATGAGTGGGGGCCTCCAAGCTTGGGTAAGAGTCTAAACAGAGAAAGGGGGAAGATAGACAAGGGAAAAAACACTTAATAAAGGGTTGGTAATGGGAATGAGAATGCCTTACTTGAAAGATAGGCCATCAGCCTGCCACGAGAAAGCAGCATTTATGAGAGGTGGACGGATGATGAAGAACCCAAACAGCCAGTTTAAAGTTTGGCAATGAATCAATAAGCAGTTAAATACACACCATCACAGGGCTTGAATAAGGGAGTGAAATGATGCAAATAATGAATTAAAGGTGATAAATCTGGCAGTGGGGTGCAGTGTGGAAAGAGGGGAAGGGGACTGTGGGCCAGAGGACCTGATTGTCACCTAGGTGTAATCCAGGGCATGAGATAATTAGGGCCTAAATTAGGGTTCTGTGCCAGCAGCAGTATCATGGTAGAAATGATTACTTGAGGCTGATGGACATTCTTCCCCTTTTACACAGTGCTTTATTTTTTTCTTAAAACTTGTCAAAAGGTAGAAAGGAAAAAGCAAAACAAAACTCTAATCCAGTGCTATCGTATACTCACTGTAACCTAAATGTACAACCACCCTGTTGAATGATTGGCTTAAGAAATTGAATTCAGTCTCTAGATCCCCTCAAAGCTCTACTTCTTGCAAAATGCCAAAAGAGGTAATTTGTTGGCATCACTGTTTCCATTAATTGGTTCTTTTTCTATCATATACACTTAACTTTTAAGTCCCATTCCTAATGTAAGTCACATGTTATTTTAGTTACTTTTTGAAAAGAATGTGAGCAACGTGATATATGATGCCCTAGTGTGTGTGTGTCTGTGTGTGTGACCATGAAAAGCACACTGAGAGTTGGCATTAAGCAGACATGAGACCTGGTTCCAGCTCTGCCATTCCATGACTCCAGGATGTCTGTAAGTCACAACTTTCTGTGCAATGCTTTTCTCATTTATAAAGTGAAGGGGTTTCGTTAGACTATGATGTACTTTGCACTGTTACATTTTTTTTCCAAAAAATAAACAAAGTAACATTTGACTTAAATTAGGAATAGCTTATATGGATGCTCCTTAAATACATCTAGCATTTCATAGGTGGATCTACACAGGGTAGTTTTTATTCTGACATATGTAAATTATGTACTACTCCCTTTAGGAAATTTTATGGAGGAGTGGGGTTGAAGACAGAAAAAGGAGGTATACCATAGGAAGATTAAATTTATCTAATACACATAAATTTAACATAAATATAAATTATATGTATGTTAATATTCTTTATACACATTGGTTTTATTTTACTAAAACTATTTAAAGGCATTTTCATAGAATCAGTAAAAATCTTGACTCATTTAATCCTATTTTTCCAAAAATGGGATTTTCCAAAAAAAGCTTACATTTCTCAACTGTTTTATTTGATAACAACTCCAGTTATTAATAGGGATTTAATTCTAGTGATTGACAGGGAACTACCGAAGAAGAGATACTTGAGTACTATCTTTTCAGTTTTGTTATTGTTTATGATAAATAATCTTATTAGAATTATGCCTATCTCTGAGTATTATGGGTGATGGGATAGAGCCTTAATTTGTATCTGGTTATGATTCTTTAAATGACGAAGAAGCGGATCCATAACTTCTTCCTTGCCAGAAGGAGGGAACACCCTGTAGTGACTTCATTCTGAGCCACATTTGCATTTGCTTGCTTTCTAAAGGCATGCCATGAAAATCCAAGCCTGGTTCCAGTAACTCTTAACATCTTGTTAACCTCAGTGAGCACAGTTTTGGACTTCCCAATGGTTTGTGTTCCAAAAGTTACTGTTTATAATGGATAATTTGAACTTACATCACAAAATGTTCCACTTAAAAATGATTTGTGAGTACATTCTCAGGTCAGCTTACAAAAATCTTTTGAAGATAGAATAGCAATAATCCTATATTAAGGTATATAGGTAAACATCAGGTTAGCAGAAAATGAGTTTGGTTTCATTATTATATCTTTATAGTAATGGGTTTCTCTTCATCTGCAAGGGCTTTGGAGAGTAGGAATGAGGTAATATTTCTAGTGAATCCTCCCGTCCAAGTACTAACCAGGTCCAACCCTGCTTAGCTTCCAAGATCTGGTGCATTCAGGGTGGTATGACCACAGACTCTAGTGCATCTTTAATCTTTCATTCATTCAACAGATATTTATCGAGTGTCAGTTATCAGCAAAAGCACTTTGTAATTGATGACCATACTTGAATATATCTGCATGACAGAGGACACCTTCCAACTCAGGCTATTTATTCGTCAGATAGGGGATAAAAGGCAAGAGTCTTTAATGGGGGAGCACAGATTTTGACTTATGCTTCTAAGGTTT